ATAAGTAATATAGGAGCTGTAAAGTTTTTAATTAACTGTAAATAAATCATGTGTCCAGGTTTTTTCCTATTTATTTATCAGCCATAGGAATTTTATAGGCTCTATAACAATATATGATCGTCATCATCAATCTCAAGTCTAGCTCCAACATTCGACGCAGAATCGGTCTTCTCCTGCCTTTTAGTGTACACTGGTACAATTTGTTACAAAATTTCCTGTGTCTATTTTCTCCGTGTCGTACCACCAATTTGTTCCATTGTCTTATAACCCACAAAAGCTCTTAGGATCCTCATTTCACGACTTGCTATCGAAAATATTTTAATTTTTCCCTAATTTCTTAATCTCCTTTGTAATTACGTGAGGTACAAGGTATCATGTTTAAGGAAATGGATATGGAGAGCAAATGAATAAGATTCCGAAAGTCAGTGGCACAATCAAACTTACGTTATATAATTGTATTTTAATCCTTTGCTCAGTAATGTGTATTCATGTTGTGTGAATTGGGTGTTTGTAAGATTTTTAATTCGTCAGGAAAAAGGATACGGTAATACTTCCGGTTGAGAGTTATTATTATTATTCTGTATTTTAGCTTTTAGTTTTTGTATTTTGTTGTTTTGTTGATATCTGGTAAAAATCTGATAAAATATACGCTAGCATAATGTATGGAAATTGTATTTGAATTATTTATCGTTTTGAAGCTTTATATAATTTTATACACCTGAGGATGGTTCTTTTAGGAACTGAAACATGTCGTGAAACATGAAAAATGATGGTCTAATGTAAATCGAATATTTCGATAAAGAACACCATTTAATATTTTAAATCTTTTAAATGTTAATTATTGTAATATTTTAATATTAAATAAGAATTATTGGGATTAGATGGACAAGATTTAATATATACAAACTTACGTTAAAAAATAAACTTTTAAAGACTCTGAGACTCTGCGGAAATAATACGTGTAGCAGCACACCAAGGCATTTATGGGAAATTATACAAATAGCCTAACTGGTGAGTACACGTGTCGTGAAGAAATTGTGACGTTCGCGAGGAAAGAGGAACGTGGGAAAAATCTGTAAAAAGACTGGTTTTGGGAGCGGCTTTAGCGTTGACTGAACAATAAATCGTACAGAATCTTTTGACATTAAAAAATAAGGCCCGAGAATGTGAATCAAGGAAGATTAAAATTCAGATTTTGTTTGCACGTTAACGAAGCTGTGGGTTCGTAGAGCCTTGAATGTACTGTCGGTGGTTTATCTGTCAGCTGTTCAAGAAGCACCCCTGGACAATGCGGGCTGAGTAGTCAGTCGGTCGCTTGGTTGGTTGATCGGACAGTCAGTAATTGGCTCGGTCTATTAAACAAACAGTCAGTCAGTCAGCCAGCCCGGAAAATCTGTGAGGCGGTCCATCAACCAGTGGTATTATGACGCGGACTGCATATTTGTGTTTGTTTGTTGATGACTTAACAGCTGTTCATTCTTATCTCTTTGATTCAAGTAACTGATGAATTCATGGGTGTACGGGTCACCACGTCTGGCACGTCACACGAATTGAGTACCTGCGTACTTCATAAGGTTGACTGTCATGTCTGTAAAAATGAAAAGCTTCCTCCTGTTCGGGCGGAGATCAGCCTCTCTCTCTCTCTCTTTCTCTCTGAGTAACTAAACCTTTCTCATGTCAGTTCAGTCTCTCCCGACACCATGCAATTTGCTATGATTTCTCTTTTGAACAACCACGAGGGAGAGAGAGAGAGAAAATGCTGCCCTTACAAACGCTTTCCAACCCCCTGGTACACCCACTACGTTATAGAAAGGGTGGAAAAGAGAAAAAGAGAATCTGTGACGATGGAGCTGAAGCAAGATGGTGTGAGAGAGGCGACGTCCATCTCAGTGCGACACGGAAGTCGGTGCTTCGGCACCTGCGAATGAGTGCGAGAGAGAAGGGGAGACACTCAGCCACCTCATGTGCTACTAATTACTCCCACTCCATGTGTGTTTCAGCTATCACCATGGAAACCTACAAGGCAATTAGACAAGCAAGGGTCAGGGGGGTGGAGGTGGGATTTGTTGGAACGAGGGAGGGTGGTTGGTGGATAAAATTGCCTGTCCTCTCTCTCTCTCTCTCTTGCTATCAGAGTGACCAGTAGGAGCCACCTACTGGAAATACCAGACACTAGTGAAGGGCACTTCGCTTGTGCCTTCAAAGCCAACACCCCTCCCCCCCCCAGGTCATCCCGTCCCCCTGTCTTGGGTGATGATACTGTTGAAAGGTTTCAAATACTTCAACTCTGGAAATACAAGACAAGGCATAAAGCTTCCCTTGAAGTGAGGACGAAATTCCAAGAGAGATTATGGAGGTGTATATGAAAAGAATAGATTTTCATAGCGTTTTAATTCTCCTACCCTCACCCCCTTACCAACCGACCTTCCATTCTCGTTTTATTCTCTGTCCACTCTTCACTACAAGGGTGAAATTATTGGCCTTTTGACCTTTTGTACTCTTGTGACTGCAAAATTACCCCTTGCGTTCGAATAATGAAGTTCTAGCACTTTATGCTACCATGAGCAGCTCATTTTGAGAAATTCTTGTTACAGAGAGAGAGAGAGAGAGAGAGAGATTTTCAGACCGCAAATAAGACGTCTCCTTCATTATTTTTCTGTTCGATTGGTTTCAGACAGATGATTTGTCTGATGGCCGATCCCCAGAATTCCATATGTGACCATTCCGGTTATCAGCTTGTGTTCCGTTACGGATTTAGTGTGATCTCCTGACAGGGCCGACCAGTTCGTATTACAGTCTGCTGCCACACGCAACAAACACGTCGTTAAAGTGGTATCGCTGACGTAACTTTATGAGTAGAGGTAGTTGTGCCTACTATTGGCACGCGAGTAGAGAACGGACGATAATAATTCATATCCCGGCGGTGCCCGAATTTATAACTTGTGTTGGGCAAGGCTGTGGTCTAGGCAACACGGGGGCTTCCCCGGTTTCTCCATTCACACACAGAAGAAGGCAATGGCAAACCACTTCTGGATCATCTGCCAAGAACGTAAATGAACAGGTCCCTGGGCGAGGCCGTGGTCTAGGCAACACGGAGTTTTTCTCCGTGGCATCCCAACAATTACTCTATTCACACACAGAAGAAGGCAATGGCAAATCACTTCTGGATCATCTGCCAAGAACGTATATGAACAGGTCCCAGTCCGAGAAAAGGATGGAAGGATCCTGTTCATATGGACCTGTCGTCAGACAGAACACTAAATAAATAAATAAATCCCGAACTGGATCCGAACCAGCGATCCACGAGCGGTTGTAGACCCTACTTTCCTTAAACAGTGACGCCACCTGAATCAGTAATAATACACACATCCCATGGAAAATGAGGACGCTAGTATCAGCGTGTTCCCTTCTAGGGAATAAAAATTTAAAACAGAAAATGTACACGTGGTCAGAGCTCGAAACACTGCCCTGTTAACGTCCCCCTAGCAAACAGAAAGTGCGCCTGTTCATATCTGAAGCCCCTGCTTTCTCGTTTTATGTCGTGACCGTGGTTATTACTGGTCATTCGCCAACCGAAAGAAGGGTTGAGTATTTGGTCAATATTGGAAACCATAGTGGGAGACAAAGGTACAATGCAAACGATATTCAAACAATCCGTAAAATTGGATGTAAATAATTTCTATTTTCATACGTAACTAAATACACACAACCCGGGCGTGTACTTACCTTCTGTTGTTTTCCCTACTCAATATTCACGACGCAGACAACGGGAAGACGCCGAAATTAAATTACGAAACGTCGCTTGTAGGCCTAATTTTGATACGCGTGTTACGAAAGATTCTCACTCTGACGTCACAGCTAGCTAATGCACTATTAAATTGCTGTATTACGCTTGTTTAGGCACATATTTTCTTTAAAGAAACTCATTCGTTAAGTTACCACAGGATGAACAATTAGCCTATTCGCGCGCTTAATGATATACGTAAGTGACCTCGGGCAGGAAAGCCTGCTGAGAAAAATTCTGTTCTTAGGCAGGATGCAGAAATAACTTATGAACACGCTGTTTCTTTAGATGCGTCACTCTTTATGGTGATGCTAACAGAAACTACGACGTAATAATTATACGGCTCAGTGATGTGTTTGTATGGTAGTTTAATTAATTTAAACTTAATCTACGTTAACTCTGACCACAAAGATTTACACCGCCGTCCACGTGTTTGTAATCATTAACAAATAACAACAATATCACACATTTATGTGATACCGGTTTATCCTATCTTCGTAACCAACTTTCAATGATTTATTAATCAGAGATCACCACGAAACTGAACTGGTCGTCATGTTCATTTACACTCTACAAGAAAAGTTTGTACAAGAAGTTGCATATTTCTTTAATAACTAATACCACATAATATTTTATAATATGCCATCAAAGGACAGTAAAGTCGCTGCCACCTTTTAAATCTGAAAGTCCCACATTTCGGTATATTATCGGCCTGTGAATATGTTACCTTGTATTAGCTTTATGTTCAACGAGTTTCATGAAAATCCGCCAACAGTTCAAAACTAAAATAATTTGCGAGGGAGGGGAAGGTATACGTACATAATAATACCATGAGACTACATTGCATGGTGAGGGTTTAGGTTCTCACGGTGACGAGTGTGAAGGAGATGACTTTGATGTCTTCTGGTAGATGCGCTATATACTCTGGCTGAATCTGAAGACGTTTCCGAGGTGCTTGTTGCTTCCATTATTAGGGAAATTGAGGTATAATTTGGTTGAAAGTAACCGACATTTCAGAGGTGCTTACTGCCTCTATCATCAGGACAATTGCCTAATGATGAAGGCAGTAAGCACCTCTGAAACGTCCGCCAGTTTCTTCCAGGCTACACGGGACACAGCAGAAGACAGTCATCTTCCCAGCTTACCAGGTTAAAGAAGGTCACATGCAGGCTCTTAAATAGTTGCCCATATCTTTTAATGTCGGTAGGTTACTTACTGGACTTTGTGCGTGGTTCCCTTGGTCCGTCCACGGTCACCTTGATGGCTTTGTTGTACGTAGCGACCTGGAAGGGCGTCGAACTGATGACTATAGTCAGCGAGAAGCTCTTCCCTGCAACAAGGACATGGCTCTCAGGCATACGGCCAAGTTTGTTCGTGTGGTCTGTGGGCTATTAACGATTCATTGCGAGTCGGAAGGCTGGCGCTGACATAGGCCTATCGATGGATGGACGAGCGGGTCGCTAAATTGATCTGCATTAAGGTTCACGGTTCTCACTTTTTGTGTCCTTTGCGATTAGCACCGAGAATCCTCCAACCCTTCGGAGTCGAAGTTAGTCTAAGTAATATTTAAGAGTTCAGTCCGTACCGCAAAGAAAATACAACGCTTCACCGTTACGAAGATCAGCTGGTTAACGCTGTTTAAGGAAATATACTCGCTGTTTACACTGTTAAGTATGCAAGCCCGTACATAGAGAGCGCAAAGTCGCTGATTGTCAGACTAAGTGGTACATATAGTTACCACTTGGCTTTGAAAGGTTAATAGATATTTAGTAGGATTCTTTGGACGGAGGATTCGCCCACTTCGAGGTCTCTGTCTGCACAGAACAACACGACTCATGCATGCCTCAACAAAGTGAAGGAAGGTTTGTTGGCTATGCTGACGCGTTAGTGACGACAAGAATGGAAGTTATTCCTGTGAATTGGAGTTTATGAGGGAGTGGAGGCAAATCTCCATGTGTTTAAGCCCTGGCATTAGATTAGGTGTTACTGGTGAGCATGCAGTAATAATTATTACACTAACTGAACACTCTTAAAATTGCCTAACGACTTATCATCCTACTAGTCTCCATGTCACGACAAACTGCAAAGGTTTTATGGGCAGAGCATTGGAATTACTTATTTTAAATTACGTTAAAATCGTAACACGCATGATCACGAAATGGACGTATTTTTCCGTCAACTGTAAAACTCACATTTTTATAAAGTTTTGTTGAGTGATATTTCTCTGACCCCACTGCCTTCTCGATTTTGCACAGATTGGCCTGACTGCTTTTCAGCACACGAGAAAGGCAGGCAAAGCATTGTTGACACAAGCATGGTATCCAGGGAACAGAGAAGAGGGGATGAAAGAGGGGGGAGGGTTGTGTACACACAAGGGTGGGGGTTGTAGAGGGGGATAACTACTGTACCTCGACCCGCTGCTGAGTCATTTCGCAAGTTGAGTTCAGTTGATAAAAATCAATACGGATCAGCAGTGGACCGGCACTCCTCTGGATGCCTTGGGATGCTTTATTAACAGAAATTCGGCACGTTCAGCACCGGGCGATACCGCAGTTTTGTCACAAAACCTGTTGAACTCGGCCCAGATTTAACACCGACAAGAATTTTTACTCCAAATTAATTTTACTTCTAACAGCCAGCTCTGAGGAAGATCTACGGACCAGTGTAACTCTTTTCCCTCGAGCTAAGAATCGTTTTCCTTCTGGACTCAGGGCCAAGAAACTCCTCCTGGAGCAATTTCTTCAAAACTAACAGCCAGTTCTACCTATCTTTAAAAAAATATTTATTTAGAAACGACAAATTTTCATAGTATATGCTCAAATTCTACCCATTTACCAACCTAGCAGCCGACCTCCCTAAGATCCATCTTGACTTTATCTTCATGCATGTCCAGCCCATCGTAGCCTCCTAGATTTCACTTAACATCACGATGCCATGTGACCTGTACAATTCACGCAACTCCTCGTTATGTAATATTCTAAATTCCCCAATTATTTCATCCCTCCTATGTCCAAATATCTTACTGAGCGCGCTGTTTTCAAAAACTTCTCTTCAGGTTTTCTGAATAAAACTGTGTAAGCATTTCTTGCATTACTTTTGTAAGGGGAAAACAAAAATGGGGGGACGGATTTAATTCTTTTGGAGCCCAGTAGGATGATTTGAATGTCGTAGTGGAAAGGAGGCCTGACATTTAACGGCGGCACGAATCAGTCACGTGTGTGAAGTTTCCTGATTTAATTCGTTGTTTAATCTGTGCTGTAGTAATGCCACAATTGAAGACTCAATGCCAAGTGCTGGCCATAAATATTTATGTAAGTTTACGAAACTATTGAGAATATTTCGCATGCGGTTCAAATCGATGTCAAGGAAGACAATTTTGCACTTCTTGGGGATAGACGCAGTTAGGATTCTTCTATCGGGTATTTTCTTAAGGTTTTTTTATTTAAATGGATTTTACGAAACTAAACTCAATTAAAATAAATTAGAATAGCGAGAACAATCATTGGCGAAAGCAGAGGATACAGAGTTTAGAACACGTGTTTAACACAAAAATGATGGAACATATAACACAACGAAGAAAGGTAAAACGGAACGGAAGAACGGTATTTAGCTGTTGAACAAATTAATCATACGAACAGAAAAATAAATTTATATCTTAATTGCGTCATGTTTTTCTCAGTAGATACTGTATCTTGTTACATTTTGTATTGACGACATGTTTCGATGTGTATTACATTACATTAAAATCAAACAAATCAATATACGCAACGCAAGATGTACAACAGTTTTTAAAATTGATAGACCTGATGATGATGTAATACACATCGAAACATGTCGTCAAAAAATGTAACAAGATGCAGTATCTACTGAGAATGTTATAATTTTAAGTAATTTTAAACAACATTATTTTAAGTTTGTGTATAGACGGAAAATAAAATATTGTATCAGAAAAATAAATGGCACACATAAGTCCCATGGAGTCTAACCAGATAGTTCGGAGAGCAGTTAGAAGCTGCAGTCTGAGATAGGAGTGTGGATAACATTCAACCAATAAACAAGCGAATAGCAAGAAATAGAATAACTGAGGAACAGATGGAAGGCGGAAGGCATTATACGGGATTGTCACTGCATATTGATGGAGATTTCTTAAGGAGAACTGAATGAAGGCATTTGTTCGTCTGACGGAGAAGATAAGACGAACAGATTAACAGTCTGCTTACGTAGGCAAAGATAACTGAGGAAAGAGTAGCGAGATGCGTCTCTCAATTTTCACACGGAGCTCAGATTTAAACACATCTCCGCTCGTCCATTAACTATTGGCTGTTTGGACACAGGGGTATCTTTATCGTGCTAAAATCCCTAGTTCCACTCTGCGTAACAGATGCTGGTAACATCAGAGGGCCATAACACTGACTTTAATTATCCGCAGGGTGGGATCATAATATCTCCCGTCTTTTTGTGGCCCTGACTTAGCGAATCTGCTCTGGGATAAATGTCAGAAGAGCAGTTACGTCATTAAAACTTTAAAAAAAAAAGGTCGACTACTCCTACCCTCGACCACTCGTTCACATTGGTTTGTGTTAAATTACTAAGTCTTTATTAGCGGAGCGTCTAATTGTCGTGCGAATGTCAAATTTGGGGAGGCTATTAACTGTTTTATTAACACCCTGAACCCACAAGAGGCATGAAACTGTGTTTCTCAACTAGTGATCCGTTGTCGTATCGATGTTTATTGACTTATTCAACAACGCTTTTTAACTGCGTGTGTTCTGCAGCGTTGAATTGGCTTTCAGTGGTGAAAGCTGAATTAACAAGGACGAGGAAAAAGTAACTTGTGGCGTATTCGAAGTTGCTATTGCAGTATTTTTACCTACGGAGAATGAGAAACAAACACGAAATTTTTAGTCAGAATATCTGATTTTGGATGCCCTGCATAACTGGAAGTTCTAACCACTGTACAACATCTTTTGATATAAACACATCTAAATGTAAGCGTCAGTAATTATTTTTACTGCAGGGCTTGATAAGGCTGGACTCTGCAGAAACATGATCTGTTTTGTAGTTAAATGTCACACCGGCTACTTTTAAGTTATTTATATTGAGAAAATAGGCCTGTAAGCCTTCTTAACAGATGTAGAAGCAGTCTGTGGGCCTAATATAATATTAGACAATTAATAATTGTCCTAGACTAAGCCGTTGCAAGTACAAATCGAGGACATGTGTGGATTACACAAGTCAAAAAGTGTTTTTAACCTGTGACAAATTCGGAGGCCACGACCGAATAAGAATGTCTTAGTTAGGATGGGGGAGACAAGGAATGTTTACAGAAATTGTGTTGGGAAACCCCCTAAAATAAGATCACTTGAAACATGGAGGAGATGGAAGGTGGATCTTGTCGGTGTGGTGTTTCTGAGCTGTCCCAAAATGTGACTGGTTTTCTTAAGGGTTAAAGACCCTACACTGGATCGACATTATCATAGCAAGTTGTAGGGTTTGTTAATGAAGACAATAAACAGGCCCATAACTTGGATTTCCTTCTTAAATAATTTTAACGACGCTGAAAATTATCTATTGTGTTGGCCACGTGTAGTCTTAGACATCATAGTTCCTGAATCGCAGTTCAATTTATGTATATTTACATTTTTCTGGTGTGGCTGCTATCATTTTATTTCATATTCGGCTTTAGTTTGTATTTCATAAATAAGAAATTACGACATATTGTCGAATATCCCATATGAAAATGGTTAACTATTAGCTAATTGATCATCCTAACATGTGTTTATACAAATTTCATTGAACAGATTTCTTCCCTGAGAATCTGTTACGAGTCACTGGCTAGTCGTCCTCCCATCCAATCCTATGTAGGCTTATTCCTTTCAGGATTTCTGACAAAAATGTTATGTTCATTTCTCATATATTATGCCTCCTTTGAGTTCTACCAATGCAATTTTCCTTGACTTGAATTATTATGGACTTTTAACGATGGTTTGCTGTGAACTGAAATTGGACAAAGATTTAAAAAAAAATACAGTATGAACCAAATGTTTTGGGTGACCAATAGTTTAGAGACTATGCATAAAAAATGGGAGGTCACCATTAAAATTGAAACTTAGAGAAATATAGTGGTTTAGTACGGGGTATAATGGAGAGTTATATATTTTCATTAATGAATATAGCAGGATTTTTTTTGTGATCAGCTGAATGTCAGCTGACCGTGAAGATAGTGTTGGTTAAGACAAACGTTGCACTTTAGTTAATTATCAATTTGTCTGATCCACAATATCGACTGTAAGTTACTGAATTTGTCGCCATAATTTTATTCCGACAAAGATTTATTTAACATTTTAAACGTAGTTACTGGCATCTTTGAAGTCTGAAATTATTAACTTTTACATTATATAATAAATTCTTCTAGGGCTGACAGCCATGTCAGTTGGTTTAATGGAGAAAATACCAACGTTTCGAGAACCTTCTTCGTCCTCATCTTCAGGGTTCTGAACTTCGTAAACGCTGGTGTTTTTTCCATTAAACCATCTGACACGGCTGGCAGCCAGGAAAAAATTATTATGCAGCCGTGTAAACGTGAGATTTTACATTACGGGTTAGTCATATTACATTGGTCCAGTAAAATATTCTCGGGCGACAGGCCGCATCAAAATGAAATCGTAGTCCAACGTTTTAGAGACACTCTCCGTCTCCATCATCAGCGAATGCGATGGGTGACTTCAGTTTGCTACCAAGAAATGGTGTCCTTTCATGTGCGGCATTTGACCAATGGGGAATGTGCCTTTCGTACGGACACGCAGCACTTGGAACTTGGTGTAAAAGCAATCCAAGTATTACATTGGTCTATTACCTCACTGATTGAAAATTTATTTATTTCATATTCTAAAACGTTCGAAAATTACACAAGGCAGCCGTTCTGGTAGGCAAGGCACGTGTTTAAGGAAAGAGAAAAAAGAATTTCGATATACCATTTATGATAATTATATTTCCGACCTTTAATTCTGTTATCTCTAAGTGTGCTGGTCTTTAAAATGTTTGCACAGACTGTAGGCTACCGTATTCTTGGACTGTAGGACAATTTTTTTAGATTTGATTAATCTAATTACGCAAGTTGAAATATTCTTCTTCTTCTTTAACGTCACATATTAGATCTCTTGCCCTGTTATTGCCTCATTAACTCCTGCATAGTTCGTGATGATAATGCTCATTACATAACCTATGATATGCGATATTTGCGAATCACCATATTTTTGTAGACCGATTGCATTTTTATCATGTTGAATTAAGATACAACATGATTTATAATCATTTTTTAAAAAGAATAACCAAGTATAGTTCAGTAGAATTTAACAAAACAAAAACATGTTCCTTATTTACAGGACCGGACGCAAATTTTTCGGACTTCCTCGGACATTAAGTTTTAAATCAGGGGTATAAAAAGTCGCGCTCTCGAATGCCAACATCAATTGATCGACGCCTGTCAGTTTCTTAGGTTACATAGCATCGAATATTTCGTTAGCTAATGCCAGTGCTGAAAATGAAGGGGATGGAAGTGGTTGTAGTGTATTTAAAGGTTCTGTCATAGTATCTGCCTGGAGGAACTGGGAAAATTCACAAAAAAAAATTTTGTGGTGAGAATTCGAATGGCATTACTGGCTTTTAGGTCGATTATTTGTTTAATTAAGCGATTAATCGGTTAATAAGAACATATTTAATTTTAGCATGTTTTGTCTTAACACGTATATACCCATTTAAGTGAATTATAAATGAGCCCCAAACCCTACATGGACCCTATGTAGACCTGAGAGGGAGAACTAGGTGTGGATAAGAGGATAATAGGACCTATTAAACTCAACTTAAAGAAACACGTACAGAGTATGGGTACAGACTTAGATCAGCTGACTCAGTGTCGGGCTTTTGTGAGCACGGTAATCATAACTTAATGAACATTTAGGTTGCATAAAATACTTGGAATTTTTTCAACAGCTTTTAGTTAGTAATTGTCTTTTCCTCTATCATCGTCGTTTCTCTTAGGTTCATTATTCTCACTTTTGTTGTCTGAACAAAGCTGTAATGAATGTTTCAACTTCATTTGACATGCTTCTTTGCTGCAAGCATTAGGCATCTTATCACTGTCGAGACAGAGCATAGCAATTTCTATTTCTTTTTAATTTGTTTAATTAGATTGTTCAGCACCAGCCCATCTACAAGCTCATAACCACACATTTAAAAAGATTACCGCAATATTAAAAAACTGTGGTCTGCTAAGTATGGGGAGTGAACCAATAACGGGTCGCGACGTAGCCCATAAGTAAACCGCATATAAACAACGAAAGAGGTTTAAATAGGGAAATTAAGTGGCTGTGTGAGACCTGGTAATGAATTTCGATTTGTGCTCATATTTAACCGAGTTACTTTTTAAAATTTAGGCCTATTAGATTGGAAATTTTGAACATTTTATACTTCACCTGTAGGCCTAACTTAAATCGTTTTATTTTGTATTTTATTATTTAGACCTACTTTTTAGAGGTCTGCTGGTGTCAATATGCGATATTCTCGTGCACCAACTTTCGTTAGGGCAGTAATCTGCTGTTACGAACGTAATTGGGCCGATAATAGCTTAATATCTGGGGCCCGTTAGCACCTTATGAATTTACAAGATTAAAACTTAATATTTTTTCCAGTACTCTGTTGACTTTTTAGAGACTGGTCTTCGAAACAGTCATCATCCTCTCTTCAATCCAATGGTACTTTGCTTACTGTGGGCGGTTTACGAATTAAATCAGTAAAAAGGTACAATGTGAAACTTTATGGATCGCCAGTTGTGAGAAATTTAAACTACTGGTCCATACCACAAAGTCAGGTTATTTTAACATTTCTTCAAAAGCAACTTTTCGACAACATATCGACTTTCGCTGATTCAAATTCCCTTGATAATCCTATATGAAATCGATTATTATTGTCTATACGCTTGCTGGTTAATTATATTCAGACTTTAATTCGTATGATAGTCAAGAAAATTAGGTGATATATTTAATTTAGTCATATTTGACGCATTTTAGGCCTTGACTGGGAAAAAGTATGTTATCCGCGGATGATCGCATTTATAAGAAATTTTATGGTATATTAGTGGTTGTTTCATCTGTTAAAACATACTTTATCAAATTAGCTAAATCCTAGGCTTAACTTTTGTGTTGTTAAATTAACATTGCTGTCCTAGTTATAATGTAGGACACTTTCTAATTAATATATAGGATATGCCTGTTTTTCACTAACATTCTAGAGGGATGGATACCTGAAAATCTGTACAAAACAGGTTTCCGGCTTAAGGGTTTTTAAGTTATTACTCTGGAAAGCATTTAAAGTGATAAACTAACTAGGTGGCTTAGTGAACCCGAAGGTTCATCACCGAATTAACCAAAGCCCTCCACCGTTCTCTATCCTGGACCAGAAAAATCCGATCGCCATTTAAACTGGTGTTATTTTAAAATTGCAAGGTCTGTCTGCAATAGAGAGCCTCTCCATAGCCTGTAACTCACTTGAGTTGATATTCCTAAACCGTTTCATCCTCTATGAATGTTATAACCACGTTGTTTGATATTGTCTTAATTAAATACGGGATTTTTAAACACAGACCCCGAGGCTAAAGATGACAAAAAAGTAAAGAAACAAAGAGGACTCACCTCTGCCACTCCTGCCGACGAACCTGAGGTCATTAAACTTGGCCACCTGGTTCTTCATGACCGCCGTGCAGTTTCTGAGTTCACCACAGAAATTTTCATCATTACCAGCTTTAACAGTCACTAATGTTCCGTCCATTATGTCGTCCAGCGCAACCACTTTGAAGGCGACTGGTAGGGACTTGTTGGACCGCCAGTGTGAAGGTAGGGCCGAACACAGAACGGCTGGACTGCCCGTCTGAACCAGCTCGCCGTGGTATTCTTGAAGGGCTTCGTGAAGCCATTCGGTACCAGGAACAGTTGTTGTTGCCGGAGAAGGCTCGCCCGAACTCGCGGGAACAGAGCCTGACATCGCCGGCGAAGATTTCTGTCCTTCCCCGGACTTGGCACAGACGACAATGTTCTTAATTTTATTGAATGTTGTTGAACTTGAGTGATGATGAACGTCCAAATCGTAAGGGGATGGTAGATGCATTGAGGAAAGGAGACTCCACTGTGGTTACAGAAAGAATTATATTCACAATAAGTAGATAGTTCGTATTTTCTAAGGGGTTCTGGCGAATTTAAACACTTTAATTATTAATCTCCTAGAAAGATTTTTAATGTCAAGTTATTTTCGAGTTTTAACACATCTTCTGGAACTTGTCGAAGTAAACATTTTTTTTTTCCACTCACAGAACATAATCACTTATGTATAGTCTTCTTGAACCGAACAGGTGGTAGGTTAATTGCCGGAATATTCTTTTGTTCCAAATCAGCGTGTCAAATTGTGACACGTTTGTAGGATGTTTCAGAGCGATCACTTGCATTAACCACCCCTGAACAAAAGTTTCACTGGCGTGTACGTGTGTTTGTGTGGGCGGCAGATTTTAGAAAAACTGCGATTCCATCGGAACACGACCTTACCATGCGCGCAGTCCATGTACTGAACTTCCAAGAGTTGTGGGGAAAAAAAATATATCTATATATTGTGAGACAGATTGACGAAGGGGTGGGGACGACGTCGAAGTGTGGAAACTGGGGTGGCGGCGGAGGGGAGGGGGGGTGCG